GGTATGATGTTGAGCATGGCTCGAGAGACTGTCCTCTCTGTGGTGTATCCTTCCTTGGAGATCGTTGGTCGATGACCATTTATTATGAATTATGGAGTGAATGGTTCGTTGGCCGGTAGATCGTGTCTCCTCATTGCATCTTTGATGAAGAGATCGAGGAACCGTGGGAAGAGCACGGATGCCAATGGCTTTCTTGCGGCCTTGAGCTTGCACTTCTTGATTACTGCTGCATGAATCTCGTTGTAGATGAGAAAAGCGTAGTCCAATGGTAGGTTGAAGAAGAGGCCGTACATGATAGTCATTATATTGATGTTGCCCTGATCCATCGATCCCAGTTTGCAGGTCAGAGCTCTGTTCAATATGGAAAAGAACATATTCTATATTGGAGGCAAGAATTGCCTCTTGAAATCAGAGGCATTGCGTTGGTGACGATTGTAACCTAGCATTCGGATGAAGCAGAGGATGTCAGAGCTCGTGGGTGGCTCGCCGTAGTGGTCAATGCCAAGTTCTTAGCGTGTGAGAATGCACAGGACTCTTGAGACCTTTGCTCGTGAGATCTTAACGGAGCAGACCATGTCGTTTGGGGCGTCGATATCCCCCATGATTCCACGGCTGTCGGGGATAAACTCACAGGTCTACTAGTATTGTTGGACGTACTTGAGAGGTATGCCATTGTCTGTTAAAGTCAACGCCGGTTGGAGAACACAGTTCTGGAAAAACTCTATCATGATAGCAAACCTATCTTCAAACAGGTTGGTTCGAAGGTCGACCGCGTGGTCGTTTGGCTTTATGGGGAGGAACACCAGTGCACGGCTGTCAGCGCCGGTTGATTGCACATGGCTATCATTGTTGTTTGATTCGTGTGAGGCGGAAGATGCCATTGTTGTTTGAGGTTGCAGGTTGTGCGTTTAGTTCGTCTTAAGCTTTTTGCAGGTTTAAGAAGCGTAAAGAAGAAGTGGTTTGGGCAAGATGAGTATTTATAGGTGGAAGAGGGTTACAGGCATTTGAAAAAAATAATATTAAAATGGTAATCATGATTGTGGGAGACGTTTATCAAAAAGGTGATTTGGTGGGGATCGTAGGCCGTCTTGACGGTACTGTGCCATTAATGTGGGAGAACACGTGTCGTTATGGGGAGGGTGGATAATGTGAAGAGGTTTATGGGGAACAACCAGTAAATGTGGCAGACTTTTGTGTAAGATGACGTTTGGATTATTTGGAGTAATTAAATAATTATTCCAAATAATATCTCTTGAAATATCGATCCAAAAAAAATTGTATTTAAAAATTCCATCTAATTGTAAGATAAATACTAATTACGAAGTTTTGATCTTCTAAAAACCCATGTTGTATAGTTTTTAGTCACAAAAGTTGCAATTTTGTATAATCTTTAAAAAAATTCAATTAAGATGGGTTTTTGGATGGAAATTATTTTGTCATGGAACCAGAGGCGCTCTGGTTGGTCATGACTTTTTGGGTGGGGAACCAGAGGTCTTTGCTTGAGAATGATGAACAAGTTCATCGATGGAATGTTGGGTTGTATGAATAATGAGCCTTGGTTATACAAACCAGAGGCTCTAGTTAAGCAAGGACAACCCATTATGTAGGACCAGAGGTCTCTGGTTGAATACATATGATTTATTCATCTTTTATATAGCATCTTTGGTGTCCAGAGGCTCTGGATAGTGGAACCAGAGGCTCTGGGATGGAAAATGCATATTTATGGAATGAAAATCTCCCCCTCAAATGGTGCATGGGGTTGAGTTTTGAGTTTAAAACTCCCCCTAGAACCAATAGGGCTCTGGTCTGTACAACCAGAGGCTCTGGTTGTGAAAGATGATGAAAGGTGATATGAAATATGGCTAAGTATGAGAATGGATATGAAAATGAGTGGGTCTTTGAGACCAAAGGGCTCTGGTCTTTAGAACCAGAGGCTCTGGTTGTAAAGATGATGAGAAAAAGGTATGAAAGAATGGTGAAGTATATGTAAAATGATATGAAAAGATGGAGCCTTTGAGACCAGAGGGCTCTGGTTGCAAAGGCGTTGCAAAGAAATATGAAAATTTGGTTAAGTGCATGTATGTGGGTGATGAATGGATGTGCCTTTGAGGCCAGAGGGCTCTGGTTCCAACTAGAGGATAGATGTTTTAAGCTCAACAATATCTTCAGGTCTTCCATCCTTAGCCCCGATTGCTTAATAAAACTTTTTAAAATAATTAGGATCAATTTGATCCTAACAAATTCTTTCAAGCCTGAATACAAAGGGGGATAATGTTAGGACTGAATTTTAGTGTTAAATTGTATTCGTCTTGAAAGTCTATAATTGTCTATAATTATAATGTTAGCGTGTTTGACTTTGTAAGTCATGTTGACTTTGACTAGGAGGGTTCAATGTTTGACCCTATATAAAGCTTTGTCTTGTAGTGAATTTGGTGAGAAAAGCTTAATTGTGTAATACGTACATTGAGAGTAAATATAGAAGGGTTTGACTTGTTGACTAATTCTCTCTACACTTCTTATATGTTCTTGAATGTTCATATGAAGTTTGTCATGGATTATATGAAGATATTTAAAGATTGATCGTATTGTGGACTAACAATAACAATCTAGGATAAGATATCTATGAGATAAACAAGGAGAACTTATCTATCTAGTAATATGGAGGTTATCTCTAACTACCTAGAATAACAGAATTCATGCTGGCGATGAGTCAGGTACAACTGTCTTCAGGTAGCATGTACAAAGATTCTTCATGTATCTGCTTGCTAGAGTAGATCTGATCGAACTATGTTTGACACATAGAGATTCTTCAGCTGTTGTAAAACCAGAGGGTTTATGGAAAGGCTAAGTTCATCTACCTGATGAACTCTTCATAAGTGGATGATTATCATGATAAGTACTTCAGTTCTTCATAGCCTCTCTAGATCTTCAAGGTATATCTGGTTTGTCTTCAGCACTTAGAATCTTTTCAGCTCCTTCTTCTGGATTTCCATCGGGTCTCCAAACTTCCATACTTAGTACATTTTTTGATTACTTTTACATATGAGAGTTATGGGGTCTAACAACAAAAAGTGTTAAGATGGTTTAGTCATCATGACACAAAATCGTCATCTACTCCCATGATCGTCCTTTCTCTAGATATCAAGAAGGAACTATTCCTTCCAAAAGAAGACGATGAAGAGATATTGAGCCCTGAGTGTTGATATTTGGTTGCAATAGGCGCATTGTTGTACTTGGCCCAATGTACTAGACCGAACATCTCATTTGCTGTAAATTGTCTTGCTCAACATAGAAACGCGCCAACACGCTGCCATTGGAATGGCATCAAAGATATTTTTCGTTACCTTAAGGGTACTACGGATATGAATTTGTTCTATCTCTACGCGTCATCGAATGAGGATACCGCAAATGAAGGTTACTTATCAGAACTGCATAGGGGACGTTTTCAATTGGGTTATGTCTTTACCATTGGAAACACGACAATATCTTGGAGGTCTCGCAAACAGACTCTAGTTGCTACTTCGACGAACCACTCTGAGCTACTCTCACTATACGAGGCGACTAGAGAATGTGTATGGCTTTGAGCAATAATTGGCCACATCCGAAGTACGTGTGATTTAGATCAATGATCCAAATGAACCAATTTGTCATTTATGAGGATAACACCGCCGTTCTTGATCAAGCAAAACATGGTTACATCAAAGGGGATACCACTAAACACATCTCGCCAAAGTTGTTTTTTACACATGAACAACAAGCACTTCAAAAGATTGAAGTACAACATATTGGATCAGAAAAGAATCATGCATACTTGTTCACCAAATCACTGCCAAAGTATTCATTCCAAAAACATGTCAAAGCAATTGGACTTAGGAAGTTCTCTGAGCTACCTAAATGACATATATCATGCATGTTGTTGTGTGCAAGTGAAGATTGCATTCTGATGAATGCTTAAACACCATGTTGTTTGAATCTTCAAGTATACTTAACATCATACTGGTGTACATGTGAGGGAGAACATCCCATTGAATGCTAGTGTACTCCTTTTTTTCTTTAGTTCAAAGGGTTTTTCCCATTCGGTTTACCTTGTCAAAGTTTTTTAGCGAGACACAAAATTGATCCTATTCTCGTTAAGTATTATCAAATTCAGGGGGAGTATCTAGTAACATACTTCTAACCATTGTGCACTCTTTTTGTCCTTCGGTTAGAGTTTTTTCAATGGGTTTTATCTAACAAGGTTTTAATGAAGGCACACCATGTATGGTTATTCCCTCTCTACTACTGACTTTGTGTACTCTTTTGTCCTTTGACCAAATTTTTTCCCACTAGGTTTTCTTGACAAGATTTCGATGAGGCACATATTCCTAGCCAGATGAAGAGCTGAAGACATCCATATCGTATTTTTTCCTTTGACCATAGTTTCATCCCAAAGGGTTTTCTATGGGAAGGTTTTGATGAGGCGAATGTCATAAGATACAAGACATAGAAGTGACAGTGTGAGGTGTAAATTAGGACAACCAAAGGAGAGTGTTGTAACTCATAATTTATGAGTATTGAGTGTCATATTTAACACCATTATAAGGAACCTTATGTCTGAGTTAATAACCGAAGTAACTCCTATGTAGCCAAGATATAATCTTGGGTACATAAAGGGGTTGAGGCCTGACATATACTCCTATTAATACGAGTTCTCCTACATTCTCTATCCGGTTAATTTAATCTACAACAAAACATATTTTTCGTATAAGAGGGTGTTTGAGATTGTTTATTTAAAACAACTTATGTTTTTCTACAAAATAACTTATTAACTTATTATAAGTCAGAAGAGTTTAATTTTTTCAAAAACCTTTTATTATCGGTTTGATACCGGTATAAGTTATTTATCGGAATACTAAAAAAATACTTTATTACCGATGCCACACGAAAATAAATAAATAAATTGTTTTTAAAAGCAATCCTCGTTAAAACATGAAACTCAACCGAAGAATCCCCCGACTCCAAGCGAATTCGCCCTTTCTTCAATCAAATTCCAATTCGAAATTTTGGTTGATTAATCAAAGTTTCCTGGAGAGAGTTCTTAAATATCCCCCTAGAAGGTAATAATCATCGTGGTGGTTTTCTCAGGTTATTTATTAGTTTAATTTCACAGTCGGTAAGGAAAATCGTCGGAGACGGCGGTTCAGGTGGTGGTAGAATGACGGAGTCGGACGTGGTGTTCGGCGGTTCTTCACTTAGAAAACAAAAATTTATGGAATCAGTTTCATCATCAGTTTTTGATAAGCTCACTGACGAGCTGTTAATCGAAACCCTAATACGTCTTCCTCTAAAGCCAGCCAATATCTGTAAGTGCGTCTCAAGACGATTTCGTTCTTTGATTTCCAGTTCGTATTTCGTTCGATGTTATGTGAATCATCATCAAGTCGACAATTCATTTGCTCTTTATTATCAATCGAAACCTACCTTCCATAACATGATACGTCCTTCCCTAATGGGCATCGATATTGCATTTGGATTCCCCATTTTCGAATCTCCTGGGTTTTCTTTATCTTTCCTTGCCTGTTCTGAACAACAAAAGCAAGAGACTTTACAATACTTGGCTTCAAACAACGGGTTAGTTTTATGCTGTGCGGCTCTGCGTCGTCCGATTGTTTACTTTGTTTGTAATCCCTTAACTAAGCAATGGGTTGCATTGCCTCCACCTCCTAGCAACGTTAAAACAGTTTATGTTGGGTTTATATGTAATCCCCGATATTCATGTGATGATGATCACGAAGGAGGAGGTGAATCTGAAATGGGAAGCAAAACGAGTTTTAAGGTGGTTCGAATTGATGTAGTTAACTGTGAGTCCCCTAGGCAATTATCAGGTACATTGAAACTGGAAATATTTTGTTCAGTGTCAGGGAGGTGGACTGAAGAGTATTTTATGTCAAGTTCTACCTTGGACCATGAATTGTTTTATGGATGGAATTATCGGTGCCCTAGTGCTGTAGTTTGCGATGGATTGCTTCATTGGGATACACTTTCAAATTGTGGTATTTTCACATATGATCCTTATAATGGTGAATGTAGAACCATTGAGCTTCCACATGAGATAAGAAAGCCAGTATGGGCTTTCAAACATTGCTTAGGGGAGTCTTCTGGTCGACTAAGATATGCCAATTTTTCTTGGGATGATACAAATTACCGAGTGTGGGAACTGAAGGATTATGGCAATGGTGGTGAGTGGTTGTTGTTGCACAAAGTTCATTTGGATGAAATGAAATCCACGGTACAGACCATCAACAAGGATTGCATGGGTATGCTCTCGCCCCATCCACTTAATCAGGATATTCTTTTCTTTTGGTGTCGCTCCTCGTGTCGAATTGTGGAATACAACATGGGAAATAAGCTTCTGCAGTTGCCGTGTTTTCTTCGAGATGCCAAGATTATGAGTCTTTTGAGCCCTATGTTCTTCCCTTTTGTGCTTCCTTGCTGGCCTATTGCTCTTCCCCTAATCCAGCAGCATGGCCCTAACTTGTAAATTTAATGTTCGATATCCGCTTTCCTTTTTCATTTTTTAATATTATACAAGTCTATATCATGCACTTCTATTGTACAATTGGTATGAAATATATGGTTCTATTATGAGCATTCTAGCAACTTGTATTACCTTAATACATTGTTTCATGCTAGTTGACATAAAATTGTCTTGCTGTTCATCTGTATTTCTTTTGTTCCGCTATTCTTTTTCTTCTGTTGATCTACATTCTCATTTATTCTTTTGTTGGTATAATATGATTTGGATCTTCAAGTTAAGAATTTTAATATACTTGTTTTTTTAATTATGTTTTGCATACAATCCGATTTGGTATTTCAAGTTAAGAATCTTCTAGTTCTCTTGCTGCTAGATGGGACGCCATTCCAATGGTGATAGTTTTGGCATCAATAAGTGGTTGGAAACTCTACCAATTAGATGTCAAAAGTGCTCTCTTGAGCTGAACGAGGATGCATATGTTGCACAACTACAAGGCAAGTATAGGGTGAAGAGGACATGGTCTACAAATTGAAAAAGGCATTGTACGACTTGAAGCAGGCTCCTAGAGGATGCTTCAGTAGGATAGAAAGCTACTTTATCAAGGAGGGCTCCGAAAGGAGCCGCTATGAACATACTTTCTTCATAAAAAGGGAGGAGCAAGATATTAATTGTAAGTCGTTATGTTGTTTAAGAAACTGGGTATCATGGTTATTATCACTGGGATAAATTCTGGGCTCATGTTTTAGTATTGGGATAATCCAAGGACTCACTCTCGTTGTTAAGGCAGAAGAAGCTCGAGAATCTCACTCCCAGATTAAATGTTTTATATATTTATATGAGAGATCGATGGCTACGGGGTAGTTAGGCAGTTAGTAGATAACTGCACAACAATTACAACTACTTGTGGATAAGGTTGAAACAGATCAGAGGCAACTCAGAAGCTCTAAGTTAGAAGGAAACCCAAAAAGCTCTGAGTTAGAAGGCAACTCAGAAGCTCTAAGTTAGAAGGAAACTCAAAAGCTCTGAGTTACAAGGCAACTCAGAAGCTCCGAGTCATAACCGTTCACAATCAGAAACTTCTGAAGCGGACTCAGCGGTAGGGACCCTGCAAGGGGGTGCAACCCCCTTCTTGACCCCTGTCTTAAGGCAATCTACAATGATAGGGGCAATATTTGTGAGTGTGTACTCTGCATCTCTGAGCTCACGTTACAATTACACTAAAGTGCTTGATGACAGTATGAAACTAAAATCACCACCATGTTGATGACCTCATATTTACTAATAATGACTTGATTATGAAGCAAGGGTTCACGAGTTCTATGAAGTATGAAGGAGCTCGAAAAATGAGATATTTTTTGGAAGTTTTAAGTGTGTCAAAGTTCAGAAGGTATTCACATTAGCTAGAAGAAGTATGACGAGAAAATACTTGAGAGGTTTGACTAGGAAGCTTGTAACAAAGCGAAGAATCCATAGTTCCTAGAAGCAGCAGGCTGTCGAAAGAGGAAGAACTAAAGCAAGCAGATGGAAGCTTATTCAAACAAATGGTGGGGAGCCTAATGTACATTACAGCCACTTGACTCGATTTGATGTACAGTGTGTGTCTGATAAGCTATTTGTAAGAGGGTTTTTAGATATAAAAAAGCTGAAACTAATCTCCACATCTTCTATAGAAGAGTGTAAAGATGAACTTGTAGCCTACACAGGTAGGGTATGTGTTTATGCAAAGTGGAGGAGCTGTTGCTAGGGCTTCTAAGAAACAACAGGTGCTAACTCTCTTGACTACAAAGTAAGTGGCTGCTGCATTCTGTGATGTGTCTGGATGCCACATATTCTTAAGCTGATCGAAGGTACTCAATCTGATTGTGTTAGAATTTATTATTTAAATTTACCAAGATTCAAGATTTTCTTATGTGAGAAGTAAATCAATTTCATTTTCTGAGAATCTTACAATATTGATATGATATACTGTGGAACAGAGGACCAACTTGCAGACTATACTGTTAAAGTCGCGATATATTGTCAATGTATCGGCGATCGGACTTCGGGAAAAAATCGCTGGTGAAATATCGGTCCCGATAATATCGCCGATATTTATTGATATTTTGATAGATATATCGGTCCGATATACCGATTTTTTATAAGACAATTATTTGGGCTTTTCTGATTTCATGAGCTTGGTTTTTGGGCTCTTTATTTGGTCACATATATTAGGTCTCAAAAATCAAGTTTGACTTCTTTTCTTTTCATCTTCACGCTCAACGTCTCCTTCTCGGTCTCTTTCATCTTCACGCTCACGATCTGCTTCTTTTCTTTTCATCTTCACGAGTTCACGACTTCACGACTTCATGACTTCACGGTCTGGCTTCTTTTCTTTTCATCTTCACGGGTTCACGACTTCACGGTCTGGCTTCTTTCTTTTCTCGGTCTCTCTTCTCGGTCTCCTCTAGTCTACTTACCAAGTTACAAATATCTTAAGAATAACAAGTCTTCAAATCCTATTTTTTGAGAGATGTTGAAGAAAATGATGATTGGGTGGTTCCAACCAACATTGAGCTCCAAGAGTTTGTGGATGCAAGAGATGGCCTCCTTTGGTCGGATGTACGAGAAGCAATGGGAGGTAATGAAGAAGTTGGACCAAGTACAAAAAGTAAAAGGGAGCGCTATAGAGATCGTGATGATGATCATCATGTTGGAGATGAAGGGGAAGAAGAGGAAGATTGAGAAGCTAACCTAAACGAAGAAGTGAACGTATTAGATGATGTTGACTCGGATCCCGAACCTATTGCTTGCGATTAGCTCGTTTTTGAATACTTTAGATGATGTGATGTTTTAATTTTGAAACTATATTTCTAAACTCTAATTAATGCATATGATATGTTTATGGATGGATACATATATATATATATATATATATATATATATAGATATAGATATAAATATAAATTCTAAGAAATATTATATTAACCGTTATTTTGGACCGATATAACCGATATATCGAATATCGGCCCTGACCGATATTTTGTATTCTGACCGCAGTAACAACATAGCTTGCAGATAGCATGACCAAAGTCTTGAAGTTGGAACAAGTTTAAATGTAGGCACTTTGGTAGTTGACAATGTCAATAATCTCTTAATCGGCCTTTGCTTTTAGATAAGTCTGTTTTATTATTCTTAGTTAGTCATAGGCATGATCTTCAGGATGTTGAAGACTTCTGCTTTATCTGTTCCACGTACAAGTTATTTACTTTGCCTTTCTTTGTTTGAATGTATTCAATATGCAATTCTTGCAAAAGAATGCTCAATTTAGTTTTGCCATATAAATTTTGCTATGTTTAATTCTGCTGACCTACTACACCTAACCACCTCTCCATTTCTTTCCCCATACCATTAAAACCACCACCTCATCTCCTTGTTCCTTTAGTTAACTTCGATTTTCACCCTTTGACTGAAAGTTTTAAACTTTGACTTAGGGGTCTCTTACCAAACACTTACCCAGTAAGTGTTTATTGGTAAAATTTAACACTATTATTTACTTACTGGGTAAGATTTTAGTCCACCAAAACGACATTGTATGCAACAATTTATCCGGTAAACGCTTACTGTGGTAAGAGTTGTCGCCCTCACTTACCGGGTAAGACTCATGGTCCTTGTCTCGCTCTTACCGCGTAAGATTTTTGGTCCTTGCCATATTCATCCGGTGAGGTAATGTGACTTGGTAAGCGCTTATCCGGATAAGTGTTTGATAAACGGCCCTTTTGTATGTTATCAGGAAAAATAATAATTCTTAAGTAAATGCTTGAGATGTCATAAAACTTGAAAATCTTGTAGACCAATCAAATAAAAAGGGTTTGCAATTTGCAATACAAGACTTTTTTTTTTCATTTTTTGGTTTGAGGCTGCTTTTGACATTTTGGAAGCAGAATTTGCGGAGTCAACTTTTTGTTGTCATTATTGTTTATTTATTTATATTTTATTGTAAGGGAATATTGGCCATGAACTTAGGAGTTGACCGTTTGAAAATGATAATATAAATAAAGGTTGGGAGCCCATGCACCTTTATACAATGGTAACCTGATAAGAAAGTATGGGAATTCGATACCTGAATCTCCTTCATTTCTTAAAACCAAATTCATCACTCATGCATCTTTATACAAGGATTTCTCACCCTCTCCCTTTATCTGTAATTATTTTCATTTGCTGCAGCATCAACTTTGTTTCTGGTATCCCCAGAAGAAACAATGCCGAAACCAGGTGTCTTGATCGGGATCAAAGAGCACTCCTCCAATTCAAACAAGCGCTCGTGGATGATTACAGCCTTCTCAGATCATGGCAGGATGGTCGTGATTGCTGCCACTGGAGAGGTGTGGGTTGCAACAATGGAACAGGTGAAGTCGTTAGGCTCGATCTTTCTGGGATCTGGTCCGAAGAACTCGACCAAATTCTTGGTCTCAGCGGTGAAATTGACTCTTCGTTGCTTCTGTTAAGATCTTTGAGATATTTAGACCTTAGTGGAAACAGCTTCACCCGAATTCCTGACTTCATTGGTTCCCTCACAAAACTGCAGCATCTCAAACTTGCTCAAATTGAGTTTGGTTCACCCAAAGTTCCCGATCAATTAGGTAATCTTTCAGACTTGCAAACTCTTGATCTTGCATCTTCATCAGTGTTCATCAAGAACACAAACTGGCTCACTCGTTTTTCCTCACTCAAATACCTAAATCTTAGTTATATAGACCTCAGTGAGTCACTTGGCTTACTAAATAATGCCATCAGACTGCCCTCACTTGTAGAACTGCACCTTGTAAACTGCTTGCTTCCAAATACTAGTAACTCATTTTTTCGTGATCCCATCACCAACTTATCGGATGGTTTTGTGATTCTTGATCTCAATTCTAACTATCTTCCAGCCTCCACGATTTACCCTTGGTTATTCAACTTCAGTGGCAGCCTTACAGACATTAATCTATCTGATAACGCGTTACTTGGTACCATTCCTGAAGCTTTGGTTACGTTCAAAAACCTCCGAAACTTAGACTTGACCAGCAATGGCCTTGAAGGTGGTATCCCGACCTCTTTTGGGAACTTGGGCAACTTAAGTTCACTTCTTCTGGCCGGGAACAATCTGAAACAAGACCTTCCCAGTTTTTTCGACAACCTCTCGGGCCCAGCCTACAGGTCGTTGCAAGTTCTGGATCTAAGTGAGAATCAACTAAGTGGTTCTTTGCCTGATTTTACAACATTCACAGCTTTGAAGGAACTGTACCTTGGAGACAATCAGTTGAATGGATCGTTCCCAGATAAATTTGAGCAAAGCTCTAAACTTTCAATCCTTGATTTGGCTGATAACCGTATCAAGGGAGTGCTACCTGATCTTTTGGCTTTTGCTTCATTGAAGGAGTTATATTTGGAGAGAAACCTCTTAAATGGAACTCTAGCTGAAAGGTTGGCACCTCTCTCCAAGCTTGAGTCTTTGGGTGCATCTTCAAATTTCTTTCAAGGTACAATCTCCGAAATGCACATCAGCGATCTCTCTCGTTTAAAATATCTCGACCTGTCATATAACTCGCTAGATATAAAAATTGGTTCCAACTGGTCCCCAAATTTTCAGCTCGATGTCATCTCGTTGTCATCGTGCAAATTGGGGAATTCTTTCCCAGAATGGCTACAAACTCAAAAGAACTTCTCTGTGCTTGATATATCTAACGCCGGAATCAATGATGCAGTCCCCAGTTGGTTCTGGGCGTCGTTAATTCCAGGTCTTCGCTACCTAAATCTTTCCTCCAACCAGATCCATGGCATGGTTCCAGATTTGAGGTTCAGTGGCGGTGTCAAACCTTTAATAGATATGAGCTCGAATAACTTCTCCGGTAACTTGCCATTTTTTCCAGTTGACACCCTTGCACTAATGCTCAATGATAATATGTTCTCCGGGCCAATTACTTCCTTGTGTAACCTGACTATCTTAAACCGCCTTGATCTTTCAAATAATAAGCTGTCGGGAGAGCTTCCTAATTGCTGGAACAACTTTGATAGGCTGGTTATTCTGAATCTCGAAAACAATGGCTTTACCGGAACGGTTCCTGACTCGATAGGATCCCTCCAAGTTGTCGATCTGCTGAGCATGCGAGGCAATAGCTTGACCGGAAAGCTGCCATCGTCCTTAAGAAACTGCAGATCATTGCGACTTCTTGATCTCGGAGAAAATGAACTTTCTGGTAAGATACCAGAATGGATAGGGGAAAGCTTGTCGATGTTACTTGTTCTTAGCTTACCATCAAATCGTTTCAATGGAACCATTCCTACAAGTTTATGTAAGATCAAAGAGATTCAAATTTTGGACCTCTCAGTTAACGATATCTCCGGGAGCATACCCAAGTGCCTCAACAACATTTCCGGGATGGTGATGAGAGAGAATCGGAGCCCAGATGCAAGTATCAAGTACAACGCGATCGGGTTGGAACGAACCCGGCTAACTTTCAGAGCCATATATGTGTTCAAAGCATTACTGCAGTGGAAAGGAAGGCAATCCGAGTACCAAAAGACCTTGGGTCTGGTCACCAGTCTTGATCTTTCTAGTAATCGGCTTACCGGAGAAATCCCGGGTGAGATCACTAGTCTTTTGGCTCTCATTGCTTTGAATCTTTCAAGAAACACCCTAACCGGACCGGTACCTGAAGACATTGGCCGACTGAGACGGTTGGATTTTCTTGATCTATCGAGAAATGACCTCATTGGTGGAATCCCTACGAGCCTTTCACAATTGAGTAATCTTGGGGTCTTGGATTTGTCCTTCAACAACTTGTCGGGAAGAATCCCAAAGAGCACGCAGTTACAGAGTTTCGACGTGTCATCATACACCGGAAATCCAACACTTTGTGGGGTTCCGCTGCCGGACGGATGCCCTGGTGACCATCCAAGCAGGGGAAATGAAGATGTGGACGAACAAGAATCTGATGATGATAAGCTAACAAGAAATGGATTCTATGTTAGCATCGTGGTTGGTTTTGCTTTCGGGTTTTGGGGCGTTTGTGGGCCATTGGTTCTAAAAGATTCATGGAGACATGCGTTTTGCAAATTCGTGAATGCCGTCAATGATCGAGTTCTTGTAACATTGGAGACGAGTTTCGCTAGGCTCCGGAATCAAACCATGTCTAATGTGCATTGATCATTTGTATAATTCAAGTCAAATTGTTATGCAACGTTTCTCTAAATACATAGCCACCTACTGCTGATACGTAGCAACCATGAACACTGCGGTGAATAGTGGAACTTGTTCCATAGAGGAAACCCGCTGATCAACACAAGAACTATGTATTGTCAGTGAAATTATCATAGTGAACGTATTATACGTCAAATTGGTTGAAGTTATCCATGTCTATATCGGTTCGAACCGCATTTCCAACCTCATATTGCCCATTTATGCTGTTGATGATGGTTGGTGGATGGGTTGAAAAGGTCATTTGCTCTCAAAACACCGGCTTCTGTTAGAATTACTCGTGTTTCGAGTGCTTTGAGATTTCGTGGACAATGATCCAAAACATCGAGTGCGGTTAAACCGACTCTGTTTACAGCATTTCCATTGGCTTTGATACTTGGTTTCCTGAGCAAGTGGTTCATTATGAAACTCCCATTTGGAACTAGCACTACAGTAAAATCTGGTTTACAGGATACCAAAAGTATCTAAGGGGCCGTTTGGCTAGGTAAACTTTTATCAAGTCATATTATCTTATCGGATGAATATGGTAAGAATCAAGAATCTTACCGGTAAGAGCGAAGGCAATGATTGAGAGTTTTACCTGGTAAATGAAGGCGACAACTATTACTACAGTTACCACTTACCGGGTAAATTGTTGCATATGATACCATTTTGGTGGACTAATTTTTTTTTTCTGATAACTAAATGATAGTGTTGAATTTTACTGATAAGCACTTACTCGGATAAGCGTTTGATAAATGGCCTCTAAAGGGCCGTTTACCAACTCTTACCGGGTAAGTACTGTCCGGGTAAGAGTGCTGACCCAGGTAAGTGCTGTCCCGGATAGGAGTATTTACTAAATGTTTTTGGTAAGTGCTTATTAACAATAAAATGACCATTATAACCCTATTTGTAAATATACGTTGAATAAAATATAATTGTTTTTGTTACTAATAGTCTAATAGAAGAAAAAAGACAACGCATACTTTAAATAAATGATTACCAACAAAAATAATACTATTTTACTCTTTTTTATATGATTAATTACCAAATAAGAGAACAAAATGCAATTTTCATACTTCAAATTAAACGACAAACTATATTAATAATCGTTCGTACTTAAATACAAACGGAATACGAAGCGTTAATACCAATAAGAAATTGTTAGTTTTTCATTGTAGATAATAAAAATTAATTTGAAGCATTCGAAAACAGTTGAGTAGCAATCTGATCCCACGAATTAGCCATATATCTATTGTTTTGAGACGCCCCCCATTGTACTTCAACGACGACTTCTTCAATGCCTCCTCCATATTGCTCTTCCCTAGTAAACATGACGTTCTCATCATACTCCATAGACAGTTGATCTTGAATATTACATCTTATAAAATTATGGATTGCAAAACAAGCAACTTCTACCTCTTATTTGTTTTGGATAAGGATGAAGCCATTTGTTCCAGAATTGGGAATCTTACTTTCAAGACGCCATAGACATGTTCAATAACGTTTCCAAGTTGTGCATATGCATGATTGAACTTTTCTTCTGACTTTAGTTACCGTACGTTGGCGTGGAAAATCAGCTAACCAATACCGTTGTATTGTGATACGGAGTCAAAAATCCACGGGTATTGGGGTATGCAGCATCACAGAGATAATATTTATCTGCATTTACAAATACAATTAAAAGAATACAGAAAAATAACAATATTTCACTATTAGACAAGGACGATACATACTTGGTGGAGGAGATAGAAATCTCGAATTTGAGACAAATGCAACTACTTTTAAAAAAACTTAGCATCATGTGCAATGCATTTTTCATTCAGCCCAAACATATGTAAATATCATATTAAAATCACACATTTTGAAAGCAAGCACCTTTTTCTCTTCCTCTTCCTTTATATCTTGCTTGTTGATTTATGAGTACAATTGTATGTATCAAAGTTCTATCTAATGTGCCTATAGCCCCTGTAAGAAAACCATAAATTATATATAACAATATCATAAGAACTTCTCATGTTTTACAAAGTACCAAAACAAATAAAATATCGAAAATATTTTTTTGTTATGACTTTCTCTCACATGTTTAAAGTTCCATCGAAAGATGTTGGTCTTAGGACTTCTCTTGTGAATTCCATCATTCTATTTAGCACTTCCTGTTCGTGTGGAATGTTGAAATCTCCGTTTGACCATTCAAAAATGTTCATTATGACCAATAATGGTTATAAACATTCTTGTCTTCTCTTCAACACTTATACGATTACTGGATTGCAACCAATTATTTTGTTTAAAACGGTTACACAATTGTTTTGTGTATTAGACCCACGTAATAATTATTGTGTATACGCATGTTCGGTCAAATTTGAATTGTTATCTCTTATTCTTTCTCTTCTTTCTATTCTTGTGTCGGCTCTTCTTCTCAAATATCAATATGTAATCACCACAATCATCATTTACTGATTATGATCCATACAACCTTGCAAATACAAAATACAAAAAACATCGTATTATGTTTCATACATGACATGAATCTTTAACATACAATTAGAACACCAAAAACATCAAGCTAAACAATCAACACTAAAGAGTGACATAATATCAAACTAAACATATGAAAGTTCCAAAACTCGTCCATACAAAACACCAAAAAGCGATAAAGTTTCATACTCGTCCATACAAAACACCAAAAAGCGATGAAGTTCCGTACTCGTCCATACAAAACACCAAAAAGTGATAAAATTCCATATTTGTCCATAAAATGTCGGTCTAAATACCGTATCAATATCAAACATCACCTACTTGTTTTAAGTTAAGTTGGTGTGCAGTAAAGTTAACCCACAACTCACAACTCTCATCCTTCAAATGTAGCCAAATTCTCCTATAATCTATGTTTTGGTTAAAAAGGAAAAGTGTGATGTCATAAAACGGGCTATCTTCCCAACCAAGTTTCTCCAATTCCTATATACAAGCGTCCATAACACCGTCCTCTAATGGTTTGTCAAAAATGATTTTCACATGTGTCACCACATGAGCCAACTCAGCTTCACTTACCAATGGTTGATTGGTTTTCTGATTTCTGGTTTGAGAACGAGAGGAACATTCTTGTGTCGAGCTAGATGGCCCTTGAGTTGAATTAGGTGGTCTTTGAGTTGAAATAGGATGTGATTGATCTCCAAGCCTTGATCATCAACAACTAAAGGCGGGTTAGAAACATTAGCAACACGCGAAGGGTTATGAGAATTAGACCAAAGTCCCCAAATCCCTATACTTGTGCCACCACTCTATCAAAAAATTGCGTACAAATATTAGGTAAGATAGTGGTACATTCCACAACTTGTCAGCATATTTACTCAGCTGTTTATAAAAAAAGTAAAAACATATAACTAAAAGAAAAATATAAGAAAATTAAATTAGAACACCAGAAAAAGGATTGACTTTTGCCTCTGCCTTCCACTCCTCTTCAGATAGATTGAATGTGTTGTTTGTTAGGTTATAGACGTTACCTATTTTATTCCTTAGTCTAGACCATACAACGTATTTCCCTCTCAAATAATCATAGTGATTCTTCATTTGTCTTTGATTGACAATGAAGTTGTGAGTGTTTTTTTTTAATGTTTCCGCTATATTATTCCATAAGTGCATTTTAAGGCTACCGCCTTGGATTCTATTCATGGACATCTCTTGTAGACAATACTCCAAGAAGGTTTTTACCACAATTTTTTTCCAACTAACCCTCTATTTTTTGGGTTCTGATGATTCATCATATGATTCCATACCTATGTCAAAAAGACCCAAACATTTCAAGGTCTTCATTATCCATCATGTTTTCGATAACAAAGCGTGCAAAAACAAAAACACATATAAGAAACAAAGAAATATTGACAGTAATAACTAAAATTATAAAGTACCTACGTCAAGAAAAACAATAAAGAAACACAATAAACTATTGAGATCACTGAAATAAATTCCATCAAATAGGTGCTAATCAAAATCCAACAAAAAATGATCATATGGAATGATGAATTGAACCTCCTAAGATAAAAGAAGAATAGTGGTAAAATTGAGGTTGATCTGCCCTTTATAGAACAAGTTGTATCCACAAATGAAAGATGATAACGATTATGTAAAACAAGTTGTACACAACAAGTGAAAGAACAAAAAAGGGATATTTGACAAAATTTACGAGACTGTACCATTTCAACCATATCTCACTCATCTGAGCTTCGTTTAAGGCGATTCAATTTTTTTTCGGAAAGCCAACAAATGTTCTTACAACTTTCATCTTTTGAGTTTTCGCAAATTCAAGTTACATCTAAGTCGAAATCAAGATTGAAGTCGAGAGAAGGGAGCTGGATAGCAGGTAATCATAAGAAGAAAAGAGTATAAGTTCTGACATCCCATCTCATCTATTGTACAAGAAACAACAACACAAAAGCTTGATAACGAAGTGGTGGAAAGTCACACTAGAAAAGATTTTGAGTTCACTAGTAGAAGGACCTGAAAGAAGAGGACGATCTTGAGCATCAAGGGGCTCTTGGTTTGAAGATATGAAAGGGTAGGGAGATGGAATACTTGAGGGGTCTTCAAAGTCATCCAAAGGATTAACGCTGTGTCACACCCCGCTAAAGCGGAAACGCGAGATATGGCAGGTAGAGTCTTATAGCAATAGTGTATAAACAACACAACCATACAATTTAAAACATAGATACATCAAAACTAAAGTTTACAGTCCCAAATACAAGTTTACAACACTAAACATAAAAGAAGTTTTGGAATTGCTAAATGTGACACGCCTTCAAACAAATGTCACCGAAAATCTTTCTTACCCTGAAAAAGCATGTCAAACAAGTGTCAACTAC